AAGGGGATGGAGTGGCCATGTGAAAAGTCAACCCTGACAGTAACCATTCTCTAAATTTCTTTCTTGTAGCTTGTGGCATGAATATACCCTCTGAAAAGAACAACTGTTGCTACCTGAGTCTGAGAAGTAGCCCCTGCCATTGTAATACCATAATCATTTGGATGTTTCTGTAGAGAATACTGCTTTGCAGTGGTGGTAAGGGTCTTATAGGGGTGAGAATGCCTTCTAGTTGATCTTCACTTGTGACTTTGGCCTGAGCTTTTAGAAATCATTAAGAACTAGATCAAAGCTGATACATACCAATACAGTAAACACAGCAAGCCAAATTCAATATGGAATTGCAATCTGCTCTGTATATTGTTCATTCAACTTTGAGCCTGGTTTCATTTGGATAAGTGCTTGTATACTTTAAGAGGTGCTGAAAGACATAATATTTATGTCATCAGCATTTTCGTCTATGCATTATGAGCCACTTTTCTAAAAGAATTTCATGCTGTCTTTAGTAAAATTGCATCCTAAGCAAGAGCTTTGTATTGGTTCCATAGTTTTAGGTTGTTGAGGACATATTCAGTCAACATGTGCTGTAGTTAGAGCTATTGAACTAAAGCTACGGTGAACTGAAGATTCAACTGGGTCAGCATTGCCAAAATAAAGCTAAGATTTGATTATTTGTTCAGATTTTTTTCTTAATTTTTAATAATTCTGCTTTTGGTTTAATGTTGCCTTTTATCATATTGATTGGATTTATTGATTGTATATATCATGATATTTATATATGTATAGAAAATATTCCAAAAGTAATAAAATGCTCTGTCTTGTACAATTTTTCACTCTTCTTCCTGGGAGTGAGGAATGGAAAAATGTCAGCACCACAGCTTTGAGGGAATGTTAAATACTGAATAGACAAGACCACGCCGCCTGTAGCATGAGCTGTCAAACAATGGCATTTAATCTGAATCTGCAAAAGCACCAATCGACTGATGTTAAAATCAATTTCCTAAAATACTCTATTCCACCTAAATGTACAAAAAGAACTTGATTAAAGTAATGAATAGGCCAATGGAAGACATACCTGGTAAGATAAATGAAGACAGGAGCTGAAAATAATAGAAACTGTTTGATAAAATCATGACAAGACATTAATTAAAAACCTGTAATACAAGTGATAATTTAAAAATGCCTTTAATAATATATAACAATTTGATGCTTGTGTAGGTGTGTGTATGTATTTATATGGAAATAACAGTAGCAAAATATCAGGAAAATCACAAAAGGGAAAACTAAAAATATAAATTCAGCATCAAAGAAAAATAAGTTGCATCTGAGATGTAACTGAGAAAAACAAAGATAGCCTCTATAATTACAAAATAAAATGCAATCATAAGACTTCTGCAGTTGTTCATGAAAGTTTTGTAAAATTGAAATCTTCAACTAGGGAAATCCCAGGGGACTGGAAAAAATTAAAAACTTGTTTGTAAGGCAAGTAGGCAACAATCCATCTGCCTGCCTATTTATCATTTGGCAAGAGTTCAGAAGTGGTTTCCCACTTCCTAGGGCTGAGAGAGTGGACTGGCCCAAGGTCATCCAATTGGCTTCAGATTTAATGTAGAACTAGAACTTGGCTCTCCCAGTTTCTAGGCTGATGCCTCAACCACTACACTAAGCTGGCTCTCTGCTAATATATATTAGCATAATTTGTTGGTGGTAACTTTAGGTAAAAGTTCTTCCTCCATACATGAATGAAGAAGGACACTAAAGGGTTACAGATTAAATGACAACAAATATTAAAAAAGAAAGTATATTCCAATTTGTAATGAATTTTGTATATTCTTATCTTCCAAGAAAATGTTGGACAATGGAATGTTATATTTTGTCACAAAATCTCTAAAGCAATGGCTATCTTTTTAAAACCAGTTTTCATTTATTTTAGACCTGCCATGCTTTGAGTTGGTGATGTCCTAATACCTAGAAGCACCACATTGCCAATCCCTGCCCCATGCAATAGACAGGGTCTATTGTTCAGTTTTCACTCTTATCAGTATCGGAATGCTTTGAGAACATTTATTATAGAAACATTTATAAAAAGAAGCTGTGCTATAAGACAGTATTTTAGAAAAATTCCCTACACTTCCAGTGCATTTGAACTGCTATATGGAAAGCATTAGTTGTAGTATGCAAAAATAATTAGGCAGAAATTATATCCTCAGAACTAAGCAAAACTTTCCTTTGAACAGAGGGCATAGGATTGCACTGAAAATAACTCCATCAAGTCATTGCTTTATAAGAACCTGCTCATGTTCTTCAGTTAAATATTTAGTTTTTCTCTAAATATCAACACATGATCTTTGGAAGTACAAAACCCCAAAGTAAACATCTGTGCTGGAAACCAGGTTCCGCCCTCTTGTAGAAATTCAGGGCATGTCCAGAAAATGGGCAGCTCTGCATAAGATTTCTGATCAGGAATGAAAGAGAGATATAAGGCAAATTGTGTGTCTGCAACCATCCATGTGTGAAGCCTGCAACACAGAGTTGGGACACACAGTTTTTCAAGCATAAGCAGACCAATATTCAGTACATGTAGTCCTCAACTTACGACCACAATTGAGCCCCAAATTTCCATTGCTAAGTGAGACAATTGTTAAGTGAGTTTTGCCCCTTTTTATGGCCTTTCTTGGCAGTTAAGTGAATCACTGTAATTGTTACATTGGCAGCACGGTTCTTAAGTGAAGCTGACTTCCCCACTGAATTTGGTTGTCAGAAGGTTGCAAAAGGCGACCACATGATCCTGGGACACTGTAACCGCTATAAATAGGAGCCAGTTGCCAAGTGGCTGAATTCTGTTCACGTGACCATGGGGATGCTGCAATGGCCATGTGAAAAATGATCATAAATTTCACTATTGTTGCAACTTCGTGGGGTCACTAAATGAATGATTGTAAATTAAGGACTACCTATAATTATGCACTCGCACTAGGGACTGCTAGCCATAAGTTTTCACATTGTGTGAGAAACTGAATCATGCTAAGTATCTTTACTGACCTCTGGTGGGAAAACTGTGGAAATGAAGACCCACACTCTTCCCAGTTCTATAAAAAAAATCTAAAGCACGGGTGTCAAACTCATGGCGTCACATTGCTGTCACATGACATTTCCCGACGTTTTTTTCCCTTTGTGGAGCTGGGGTGGGCATGGCCTGCATGTGACACATCCAGCCCACAGGCCGCCAGTTTGACACCCCTGATCTAAAGCCATGCCTGATGACTTCTTTCTACAATCTAAGAGGTACTCCAATTCCGTACCTTGTCCTGTTCCCTCTACTCTTCCACTGCTCTGCTGTGATGACCAGCACCAAAGGTAGCCCCCAGAAAGTCCCTGCTATGGAATACCTAGCACCAATATTGTTACAATGTCCTTATTTGCATGATAAAGGGATTTCCTGAGTTAGAAGTTCTTATGGATTCCTAGCAACATCTGGGGGAAGGAAGACAGATTTTCATCCTAGTTGTTGCTCTTGCACTGTGGAGAAGATACTGCTCGTAGAGCTTGTCCAGGCAGATGGCTTGGCTGAGTCAATATTGACGTGATTTTGCTCAGCTGCAGAAGGGAGCCAGAGATAGCTACAAAAAAAACAACAACCCAAAACCCCTATTAATAATAAATTAAATATATGATCCCTAGAAATGCAATCCTTGTAAACAAAAAACATAACTACATATACTTTTCTTGCATAGCCAATATCTTGTGATAATTCCTGCCTTTCCTCTGCTTCAAATCAAGACAGTTTGTGCCGTATTCATTCTATTTCACACTTACATTTTGAGTTACATATTATGGTAGCAAAATCACAATAGGCAGGCAAATTATAGAATTAAGATAAATCTTCCAATTCCTCCTTTCATTTTTCTCATATAGAACTTATGACTGCCTATCTCACATAATGACCTTAGCTGATTCATAACCACCAATAAAAACAATTGGCTGAAATAAAAGCAGAACAAACTTCCCACTAGGAGCCAGAACAAGCAAATATTTGACTGCCTGACTCAACCCCATCCTAGCCCAATGTTTGGGGAAAGAACCATAACTTCATAGCCTTCTGAAGGCTAAAAGGGCAGGAGTAGTTTCCCAGCACTTCAGATGCTATGTTTATTTCATGCTCTGAAGCAAAGGTACTCTGTTTTAGATCAAGCCCCACATAGGATCTTGGAATGCTTTCAAGGTATTCATTTGAAAAAAATCTGTCTAGAGTTTTCAGATTTCTTTGCTATTCTAATTTGTCCTACCAAAGTGCCAAACCATACCAGGCCGCAAGATGGGTAATGTGCAGTGTTGCTCCAACCAGTTCATCACCGATTGGCAGAAATCCTTGATGTTGCCTGTGTTCACCGTTGTAGTATAGCTCTCAAACAGTGGCTTAATTATAACACTGAACTGCAAGTTGAAAGGAGTTAAGGATTCATTACAATCAACTTTTCCCATTTAAAATTTTGCTGTGGCAAAATTTATCAGACTTTATGCCCCCAATTTGTTCCTCTGCAGTAACCAAATAAATCCTGCTTTGTTAGTTCTTGATGGATACAATCCAAAAACGCCAGTCCTCTAATGTGCGCTGACGTACATATTCTTCATAGAATTCAGAAGCCTGATTTGATTGTGGAGGTAATACAGGAGCTCCATTAGGTGGAAGTTGGCGCTGGAATTTACTGCAGAAAAAAAAACACCTCAACCATATAAACTTCCTTTACTCAGATCAAGTGACAGCTCAACCATTCAAATCTATTATTCAACTTACTCAATGGCAGTGCTCAACTCTTCAATTTCTCCACGCAGTCTTTCTGCCATTTCCTGATTTTGTCGGCGTTCTTGCTGAAGTCTTCCTACATATGCTACACTCTTCTGCAAGAGTAGTGCTTTGCTGAGCTGAGAGCATACAAGATGGAACAGAAGAAGGGAAGGCAAACGGTTC